TAGTACAGTTTGAGTTACTCTTTAAGCTAACAATGATTATTCTAATTCATTATTCTTATTTTTAGTATATGTAAAAAAAAAAAATTCTGAATCGGCTGAACAATATCTACTTTATTTTTTTTTTTGTTCTACAGTATGTTTTTTCTATTTCTCTAAAAATTGTGTACGTAGCTTTGACTACTTTTGTGAGGTGTGGCATTTACTATGGATATTGGTAAAGTTTAAACATAGAAATTTAATAAAGTGTCATAAAATTTAATTATTGAAACTACTTTAGTATAAATGATGTTGGTAGTTAGTATAATGATTTGAAATAGGGTTAAAAAATAGGTATAGTTTTAGGTTTGGGGTTAGGGTTTTGGTTTGGTATTAGTATTAGGATCATGATTACTTAGGATAAAAGTTGTCAGGGGTATTAGTTGAAAGAGAAATCTTAAATTTAAAAAATCACTGTGGCTAAACTGAGCTGGACGGGCTACTGGCTCTCCATCAATTAGCAAGATGAGAAAAATAATTGGAGCTTTCAAAATCAGAAATAGAAAAGATGTGGGCAATTATCATTATTAGAGTCTAGGGCCAGCCTTCATTAGCCAGGAGGGTAGTTATAGCCTCTCTTAGCTAGAAGAGTAAAGTACCTGCCTCCTATAGCAAGTAGAGTCTACTTCCTACCTCTGTTCGCCGGTAGAGTAGTTATAGCCATTCTTAGCTAGAAGAGTAAAGTACCTGCCTCCTATAGCAAGTAGAATCTACTTCCTACCTCTGTTAGCTGTAGAGTAGTTCTAGCCTCTCTTAGATAGAGAGTAAAGTACCTGCCTCCTATAGAGGGTAGAGTCTACTTCCTACCTCTGTCAGCTGTAGAGCAGTTATAGCCTCCTTTAGCTAGAAGAGTACCTGCCTCCTATAGCAAGTAGAGTCTACTTCCTACCTCTGTTAGCCGGTAGAGAAGTTCTTAACTCTCTAATCTAGATCATTAAATAGATCAAAGTCTATATAAGACCAAGACAAGCACTATCAGCTAGAAGAGGGAATGACTACCATACAAGCTAGAAGACAACGTGTCTTATGTTCGTCTAGTGGACAACACGATCGTATATACATCTCGCTCCCCTAAGACAATGTACCACCCCTCACAATATCACTCCCCCAAGAGCAAATACAACCACTTACACACAAAACTCCTCTAAGACCAAGTACCACCTCTTACATACCTCACTCTCCTAGTACAGAGAGTACCACCCCTCACTTCCCTAAGACCGAGAGAGCACCCCTTACACAACCACTCCACTAAGACCAAGTACCACCCCTCACTCCCCTAAGACCAAGTACCACCCCGTTACTCCCCTAAGACCGAGTACAACCCCGTAACTTCATATAAAACGTAGCTATTGATTTTTTTCAATTTAATTCCTTCATGGCCAGTCGGAGTGTCGGCCAATGAAAGCTTAGAGACAATATCGTGGATGAATATTTAAGTGATCGTGACTAAGATAGATCACTAGAGTCAAGGGAGGCGATTTATAGAGGGAGGCTACTTGTTTCTTTTTTGTAAATTATGGTGTCCGTTCCTCACAAAACATACAGTAAAAAACTAGCTGCCGTACACGCAATGTAACGAAAGATATTGATAGCCTGTTTAAAATTTAACTGTTTTTATGAAGAGATAACCATCTACGGCTTTATACTATAAACAAAAAATACAGAAGTTATAAAGTGAATGAGAGAGGATTATTTTTGGGTTAGTCTTTCTAAACTAAATAGTTCATCTCTTTATTATGAAAATCGATGATCTGTATTCCTCTAGTTAGACTTTATCTGATGTACAGATAATAATTATAAAAGTCCGTCCTTCAAATATGAAATAAAAACGTTATGTTTTACATCCTATGTTAATTCTTGAACTCTGTTATTTTAAAATGTTTATTTTTGTTAGTTACGTACTTTTAGCATTAAGATCTTCAACTAAACTTGTAATATCTTTTATTTTTTAATACAAGTATAAGAGTTTTAGCTAGAGCATTGTACTTTATTTTAATTAGCTCTAAATGTTTATTTAAACTACATACAGGGTAATATTTGTTTATGAGGGAAAGTGGACCAGCTAAATTATTCAAGACAAAAGAACATACGTGTCATAGATCATTATTTTAGACATGTTTCTCAAAGCCAAATGAGAAAATTGAGTTTTTTTTTTTTTGCTTGAGCCCCCAACAATCAAAAGTATAAAAAAAAGGTTTTATTGTTAGAGCTGAGCCTATTTAAATATCTGGCGTCATTGTTGTATTTGCCGTGTTTGATGGATTGGGTTGTTAAATTAGGCGGTGAAATAGGGGGTTTACCCACAACGCCAAAACGGTTTTTTTAATTACCTGAACTGTCGAAAACCACTCTGATAACATTTTATTAATACTAAAAGACAGTTCAACATTGAAATTAAATTTAAAATATATTACTTCAAACTATGTGTATTATTTATGTTTTTTAAAGAAAAAAAAATTAATTTGGCAACAGGGGTGCTTCTGTTTTCAGTTAAATTTGCTACGGCAAAATAACTAGTGTAAAAGTGAGTTTACTGTATTTTTCCCTCCCCTTTTCGAAAAATGTGTTTATTTTGTCGAGAGAATTCTAAATTTAGTCAACAGAAACAAAATGTCGGTGTTAGCTTCGTGATGAATAATCTTCATCCAGTAAAAACATCTTTATGGCAAATCTTACTGCGATATTTCTATTATAAATTATAATTATAACCCGAATACAAGCAAATTACGAAATACGAGAATCGGACGATAAAATTCGTTGTTTAAAAACATATAAATATTCCACGACAACACAAATTAGAACTATCATCTCAATTTTTTTTACCCATGGCAAGCAGAAATTCAATATTTTTGTAACATATAGACATTGTTTTGTTTCATAAAATTAATTACCTGTCATCATTGCAGATTTTTAAGTTTGGCTAACTGTATTCAAATTGTATTTAGTTCTAGAAAAACATTTACTTGTTTGCTAACCGTATTAAACTTGTATTTAGTTCTAGAAAAACATTTACTTACTTGTTTGCTAACTGTATTAAAATTGTATTTAGTTCTAGAAAAACATTTACTTACTTGTTTGCTAACTGTATTAAAATTGTATTTTGTTCTAGAAAAAGATTTACTTCTTTCTATGTGTAAAGGTCGACCTTAGACTTAAGAATGGGATGGATCTTTGAGAGTTGGTGACCTTTAGGTTCATTGTAGGTCAAGTAGGTCACGGGGATTTAGGTCAAGGGCGTAAACCAACACAATAATTTTGTCGTGAGGGAATTATCCATTACAGTATGGATAGACAGATATTAATATATATATATATATATATATATATATATATATATATATAGACACAGACATTAAAATATGGATCGATATATACATCCATTAAAGTATAGATTGACAGACATTAAAAAATGGATAGACAGACATTAAAATATGGATAGACAGACATTACAATATGGATAGACAAACATTACAATATGGATGCACAGACATTAAAATATGTTAAAATGTGGATAGACAGACATCAAAGCAAATCCAGAAAGAAAATCAGGCGGAAATGGAGTCTGAGTCAACAGGTCAAATCACATGTTGACACGTAATACTTAATTATGCTGAAGGAAATCCCGCCCGACAATACTACTAAGAACGATGAAGAAGAAGAAGACACAATAGACTAACAGAAACGAATCAGATATTTTCTAAATAAGTCGGACACAAACATAAATATAAAAATCCAGACAAACCAACATTACAATATTGATACACAGACAGCAATAGCTGACAAACAAACAAACAAACAAACTTACGGACAGTGAAAACCACACCTCCATAAAAAAACAGACAGCAACCAACATATAATACACAGACAACCAAACCACGTAATGACACGACCCTTTACAACACGACCGGCCTATTTTTTATGCTTTGATACCGTGATTAAACCAGCCAGACGAGATTTGCGCGTGATCTTGTTAAGCGACCAATCAAAGGCGAGATAATCCACCATTTCCGGTCAGACTCGACGCAGCGGCCGAAAAAAAACGGCGACATTTTTAATCAAGCTTCTGTGATCTAAGATTTCGTTCAAAACGATTGCTCTTAGGCAGTGAAAATAAACACCATTTTTAAAATAAATATTTTGTAAATTCCTTTTTTTGACAAGATGTCGCTTGATAAATAAAAAAAAAAACATTTTTTTTCTCCACATCTCGCAAGACTAATGAGCTTGAATAAATAAATATAGTAAAAAATTATTGGAATTAAACACATATTATAAGCTATGCCCAAGACGTGTCGATACATTATAAAAGTTGTTTTGTTTGTATGTATTCAACTACTAATCGTCATTTAAGCTTTCATTATTGTAAAGTGTTCTTTTTTAACATGTACTAAGCTATACAAATAATAATGTTATTTATGTAATGTATCCTTAGAAATATTAATTATTGTTAATTATATAATTAATCACGTAATCAACAGAAATGTGTTGTCTTTAGGGAAGTTCTCCAAAGAAAATATACAAAGACAGACATACAAAAATGTCTGTTGTTGGGTATTTTTTGTCTGGTTATATGAAACTAGTGAAATAAAAAAATGTGTCTTTTGTAAAAAAAAAAGTTTTTTTTTTAACAAAAGAAAATAATGAATTTAATTGAAATTCACCGGGATAAAAAAAAAGTATGTCTTTTTTAAATAAAACACAATGAAGAAAAAAAGAATAACAAGATTCTAGTTTTCTCCCTTAATTTTAAAAACCTGTTTTACAAGAGTTGTCAGGGAACACACTTAAAGAACAATTTTGCATTAGAAAATTGTCAAGGAACACAATAAAATAGTTTGCAATACTTTTGCGAATACAATAAACCACCAAGTTTGCTTGAGTAAATTGTCAAGGGACACAATAAAACAACAAGTTTGCTAGAGTAAATTGTCCAGTGATACAGGAAAACAACAAGTTTGCTTCTTGTGACAAGAAATTTTAATTGGCGTCTCTCACACACGTGACATTGTACATGTACCCGGGGTGGGGTGGGGCCGGCCTCCGCTTCTGGACCGCTGGGGTGGGGGGTATGGGGACCTCCCGGGCCACGCATGAGGTCCCGGGGGTACAGCTGCAGTAGCCGTTCATCTTGTCGTACAGGCCGCAAGGCTCGCCCTCCAGTGAGTACATCTGGCACGTGCCTGGCCCGGCCCTCCTGCTCATCACCATGAACTCACTCAAAATCTGGCAACATTCTCCGGCCCCACACTGGGCGTGGTCTGTGCAAACGAGGCCGACTTCCGCCTGAAAATGACCACGTGACCAGTATCTATCTCTGTCAAAAGACACACCTACATAACGGATACATGTTTTTTTGGAATTGTGTGATCGGGTGTTAGAGCACACCAATGCTAACCTGTAAGTCTACGACTCTATTTTGTAAGACTTCCTTTTGACTATTCGACTTCTATGGGTGCCTTACTCAAGTCGGGGGGGGGGGGGGATTAAATTGGCAGAGAATAATATTGACCACACAATTTGTTAATTTGACAGAATCAAACAAAAGAACTCTACTCCGTCTACACTACGAGACGACAGGTATGAAAGGTCCTTATCGCTGGACAAAATAAAAACCTCCTTGTGTGTAGGTCAATGATCTATGCGCTCCTATAAAATTATAAACATATCTATGGCAAGTCCAAGACAGCACCATCTGCCACTGTTGGTTATCTAGTATTGACTTTCTTTTGTATTTAAACATGAGATTTCTTGTATCTTAATACCTGATCTACTAGCTAATAAAGATAAAGACTGTGAAAGGCATTGTAATAAATGTGTAACTCACATTGACACAGATGGCAGCGGCCGCCAATAAGAAGACGATGTTAAACATGCTGTGTTGTACTTTTGAAACCAAGATACTCGCTTAACACACTGATACTAAACATACAGATCACACAAATCGTGTACAGACTGATCCAAAGAGATTTGAAGCTCAGTTGAGTTTTAGATCACTACATGGATCACACAAATCATGTACACACTAATCCAAAAGATTTGAAGCTCAGTGGATTTTAAGATCACTACATAGACTAGACAAATCTTGGGCATACTGATCCAAAATATTTGCAGCGCAATAAAATTATAGATCCCTACACGTGATTTTAGATAAGAAGTCTTATCTCACAAGTGCAAGTTTTGTCCTATACTTTCCGACGGCTCCATACATAACATTATAGTTCTGATTTAAAAAATAATTAAATACCTTAAGCAAATCTTTTGAACCTTGTATGGTAGTAGCATGTAATAAGAAAGATCTTTAACGCTCCACCAAGCATGAGCAAACATTGTTGCTTTTTGCCATTATCAAATTTTACACCAAAAGATAAAAATATACACGAAGCCGCTTTCTTATACCCTCCCAAAAAATGATATAAAAATGATATAATAATGCATGAAAAAATTTTTACTATTTTTTGTTTTAACATTCTAAAGGACGGCGTGGTCTAGCGATAGAGATCTAGATTGGTAACCTGAGAGTCTCGAGTTCGAATCCGGGTTCCAGTCAGTAGAACGTCAGTAGAACCTAACTCGCATTAGGGAAACAGTGCTAACTACGCTATTCCTTCATATGGCGTGGTCTAAGAACTCTACTCTGATGTCTTGGGCACGAACAGGAAATGCTGATGATGATTCTATAGAACGATCCTATAAGGTAACGCCAAGAAGATTTCCCCAAAAAAAAACATATCCAATACTTGATCTGGTTAAACTAAGAAAGTTTTTGCGTCATTTCTAAACCTTTCTACGATAATCGGTAGACGAGAAGCATCATGCGATAAAAAAGTAAAGGATGACATTTTTAACTACAAGATCTTGACAAGAAGATTTAACCGATAACCGACATAACCTTTAACCGATAATCACAAAACAGCACACAAAAAATGAACAACAAGAATTCTCAAGTGCCGACCGTTCAACCACGTCCATGTTTTTACAGCAACCCAATAGGAAAATCCTCCGGACTTCCGTCACTTCCGCTTAAAGCGACCAATAAAAAAGCGACCAGATAAGCCTACACTTCCTGTGTTCACGTCAACACAACGTTTAGGGAAGCAGACGGTCGTGCAAGGCAAGCAGACGACAGTGGAAGGCAAGTAGACGACAATGGAGGCGAAGACTTCATGTAAACAAGCAGCTTTTGGTTTAAATGGAACTCGCTATAGAACAAAAAAATATAAAGTTCTCCTTTAAAGTTCTCCTTTCGAACCTGACGGTCCACGGGGCAAGTGAAGTAGAGTTCACTTGTTTCTTTGACCTCGGCATATGATGTGATAGTGTGGTCAGAACTATACTCAGCCGCCTTTAATTTCCTTAACGTGAGTTAGGTACTTATCAGAGCTGGGTGGACTCAGGGACGTTCTAATGATTTGAAATCAGAATAGAACTCTAAACTTTTGGGTTAGCAGTCTAGCGCTCTACAGCCAGACTGTTACGCTTGGGTTGTGCAGTGAGAGGGTTTGAGTCACTTGACTCGGCCAACTACCATTTGGTTCATCTCCAATACCAGGGAGAGAAGTTCTGACCTTGGGAACCAATAAGGCTATCTCACGTTCAGTCCAACATATGCCGCTCAGAGATAAGGCAAACTCAATATTCCTAATCTAATGCTTTATTCATACATATACGTCTATCTATCTCCCAACTTGAGGCATACGGACCAGTACACGTCCTTTCATACCGACGATCAAGATTAGATTCACTCACACAAAAACTCATAGCAGCCAACTCTCTACACAATTACGTCACTAACTTTCAATCGTGTCCTCATACCAATGCTTTCACTATGGTATTCGCACCAACCTGCACTCAAGTTAATATCTACTAAAACATACATCATAACACAGACCAAGCCTCACCCACGCCGCCACAAAACAGAACAAGAGAATCTGTTACTTCTCAGAGTAACCTGTTACCGATAACTCAAAAGTGGTGATTTCACATAACACGAGTCATTTTTTTAAAAGCAAAGATAAATTATGGACGATTCAAAATACTCTCCCTTTTTTATTTTATCATAGGTATAGCGTCGAATATACATGCTTTTTGTGTGTAAGATTTTCTAAGTTGTGAGTGAGTGAGTGTTTGTGTGTGCCTGTGTAAGTGCATGTACGTTACATAATACAAACATGTAATGGCCACTAAAAATGAGCGTAGCGGTCGTTTAACGAAGAAAAAACGATGCCTTTATCTTAGTAGTAAAGGCTAACGATAAGTGTAATGATACAACTATCATAGCCGAGTAGATTTTCATGGGCGAGTAAGTTTTGATGGCACGGTCGGTAGGGTAGGTTTTGATGGCCAAGTAGGTTTTGATGACAATAGTAAGTTTTGATGACAATAGTAAGTTTTGATGACAATAGTAGGTTTTGATGGCCGAGTAGGTTTTGATGGCACGGTCGGCAGGGTAGGTTTTGATGGCCAAGTAGGTTTATGATGGTAGGGTAGGTTTTGAAGGTCAAGTAGGTTTTGATGACAATAGTAAGTTTTGATGACAATAGTAGGTTTTGATGACAATAGTAGGTTTTGATGGCCGAGTAGGTTTTGATGACATGGTAGGTTTTGATGACAATAGTAGGTTTTGATGACAATAGTAGGTTTTGATGACAATAGTAGGTTTTGATGGCCGAGTAGGTTTTGATGACATGGTAGGTTTTAATGGCCGAGTATGTTTTTATGTAACATTGGAGTTGTGTGACGTCAGTTGTGATTTATGCGTCTGACAACCGTCAGTACCCCCACCTGGATCAATTAACCACTGTCCATTATCACCGCCCCCATCAACAAAATTACAATAGGACGTAACCCCTGATATCTATACCTCCCCCATTTCGGTCATTTAGAGATAGATACGAATGGGGATGAGTTATGGATAAGTTAAGGTTAGGGAAAAAGATAGTGTATGATGGTGTTTGGGTTAGGGATATTGCTCTGGATAGTGTTTGGGATAGGGATAGGGATTAGAATTGGTCAGAGGGGGGTGGAGGGGCATAATAGTGAGAAACGATGTGGGTGGGGGGGGGGGGGTAATGTCATCGACCCGTAATTCTTATAATTAACTGCCATGCAAATCTTACATTGCACAGGTAAACACCAGGGCATAAATCTATCAAAAAATTAGGTACAGCTGCACGTATTTAACTATACTGACAAAACTATTGCTGGTATAATCTAGAACTACAATTTACCGCCCACCCCCTCCCTTTATTCATCTCCACCACGACACACCCCCTTGTGTATATGACAACAACTGATGAAATAATGGCAATTTATTTCTCGCGTCACTCCTACCAGATTTTTCTTTCTTTAAAAACTGGATGACCTCCCCTGATCTGCCCACCACACAGGGGAGCTAATCCACTTCCTTAAACAAGCGAGTCCATTAAATAGAAACCATTATCTTGTCATTGTTATGGGGACGCTGAAGGTCTTTGTGTAAATCACCGGCAGAAATACCAAGACGTATACAAAGAAGAATAAGCCGTTATCGTATATGGAGGAAAGTTATTACAATATGGAATCGTGGGATGGGGGTCTTTGTTACTGATTTAAATGTCAGGTCTTTGATATCTGTAGATAATTAGAGTATTAAGATATTTATTGACAAAAGTTAGTAAGTGATGACTGTCATTGCCTTATGTCATAGTTTAGAATACATCATTGACATAGCTATATTTTGTACAGGCATAGGTCACGGGAGGCTGAATAGGTTGGCATATTTTTTTCTCATTCACTGGTAGATAAGAAGCGCAACTATTTGTTGCTGTTGTTTTGTTGTTAGTTTGTTAGCTGTTGTTGATTTTTTTTTTGTGATGGACAGTGAACATGTATCAGAAGGGCATCTGTTTATTAATATTTAGTTGTTCGTTCATTTGTTTTGTTTTTTTCCTTATTGTGATTGACGTGGTAGTGAACCCGATATATTAGCGTTTCTATTGGTGTTATTTTGTGGGAGGAGGGGGGTGGGGGTGAGTGTAGAACTGGAGCTTTTCATACATTTTAGTGCCAAGTAAAATAGTCTGACACTATCTCTTCGTATGCCGAGGTCACAGAAACCGCTGGACCGCCAGATTCGAAGAGGTAACTTTACTGACTAACAGTTGTGGACCAAATCTATTCATGTTGTATTGCTTAGGAACATACCTCACTGACGTACCTATATATTTTGTCGGTTGGAGACAACAAGTATTAACTTCAGCACCCGCACGAAACTTGTATTACAACTCTGTATTCGTACTAAAATTGCTAAAAGCATTGCTGTATTAGCGATCTCAAATTTCGTATCCCGTTTCTACATCACATATTCGACCAGCGCCGTAAATTAGCATGTATAAAAAGATACGAAACAACGGCAAGAAAAACAAACATCATCTTCTCGCGTTAAACTAGCTTGAATAAAAATAACAACAGAATAATGGCACGAACCTAAAAACAACATAACTATGCTGTTGTTTTATTTTTATTTTTTTTATTTTTTTTTGTTTTTGTTTTGTTTTGTTTTTCGGATTGTTATTACTTCCTTGAATGCACACTAAAAGAAAATCAATACTTTCTAAATTTCTGTCACGTGACCTTAAGACTAGGATATCACGTGACCTCAGGCTAGTGCAGCCCCCCCCCCCCCCCCCCTCATATGAGCCCGTGCATGGGTTTGAAAAAGCAACTGCAACTAAAACAATACTTTAATCAGCTCCCGTTGTCAGGCCGCGGTCTGCAAACCTCGCCCAGATCACGTGAGATATCGATCAGCTGTTTTGCAAACGAGAACGGAAGTGACGGGGTGAGAGGGTTTTCCCGTAAGCATGGCGTCACATGACGCCAGATAAAATGTTTCCCGAGACGCGGAGTAAAAGGTTGTATGACGCATGTGAATGTTC